CATATTTGATATTTTGTAAATTATTTTGTTATGTATAATTAGGCCGTTAATTTTTTCGTTTGAATTGTTTCTCACACTTTTCACGTCGGGCCTTTTATAGACGACTTTTAATACAGTATCGAGTTTTGTTATTGTTGAAGGCCTAAATTACTGTTGCCTATAATTGCTTACATCCACTTCATATTTAAACTCCGGTGGATAGTTGCCTCATTAGCAATCATACATCTCTTCGTTTTTTTATTATATACCTGACTTTTAAACTCGTGTTTTCCTGAACCGAGTCCTGAACATGCATGACATATTTGTCACTGGGCGTTAAAAATTAGCAACAAACAATCAATCAATTTAAACTTGTGTTAAATAAGAAGAAAAACCATATGATATTTATTCATTTATTGGGGTGGGGGACAGGAGGATTTCATATATGAATATGGTTGCCTGGTTAGAGCTGAAAAATAGGCATAATTAGCGACAGATTAAAAAAGTTAATAATGCCCTCTTCCCTTCCCCATCCTTCATCTATAATTTCAACTGACCACCACGGAATAGCCCAACTTAGTGTTGAAAGTAGCGTTAAACACCAATCAATCAAAATCCTTTCCCTAGAATATCAAATTGTCGTCCCTTAACTGTTATTGTCCGTGTAGTTCTTATATTTATCCAGCTTATCGTCCTACAGGGATGTCCTACTAAGACTGTCATACCATAAAAACGTTTATAACACAGCTCACATTCTAATATATCTGCATTCATAAATTTATCAATGTCAATTAGACTAAACGACGCCATGTTTGTTATGTGCCTCTGCCGTCTAAACTACCTATCAAAAAAGAAGAGGTGGAAGAGAGCCAGAAGATCTTCCCTATGCAAAAAAACAGAAATGGACCTCTTCTGGCTCACTACCGAAGAACAAAAAAACACGCCCTAGAAGTCGCCACTTTTAAGATACATCTAAAAACCCAGACGATGCATAAGATTCAATCTCAACAATTAAAAACATCGTATCGAGGTGATGAACAAATGAAAACAATGTCCTTTCGAAGGATAAAAGTTATGACCCGGGCATGAAAATATATATACAATATATGTACATTGTCGGAAAATATAAAATTTATTTGTATGAGCTTTAGAAACAGGACGAAAAGCGAGGCTCGCCGAGCTTTTCTCCTGTTTCGTAGCGAGTACAAATAAATTTTATATTTTCCGATAGTGTACATATATTGTTTTTATCCTGAAATTTACACACAACACTTGAAACTTTAGTTTTTAAAATCTAAATCATTGTCTCTATTTTTTCAAAGAAGTCGACATAGTTTAAACGCGGACCGCGAAGAGGACCCCAAAGTGAACTGGTACGCAAAAAGAAATATCCACATTACCGCTTGCTCAACATGGAAGAGGGGTAACAGGAGACTTTATTTGTACAAGTACAAATAAAGCAAAAATTTATTTGTGTACCTGTTATTTGTAAATAGTTGGCTGAATGCAGGATAAATATAAAAACAAGTACTATCTAAAAAAATATATATACCTGACGCCTTCAGAAGGGAGTATTATTTTAAACTTAATTTTTATGTCTATTTGATCATGTTTAAATAAATTACCTAAATTTGACGTCAAAATCTGACAATTCTGAAACTTGAGTACACGCACTTGTATCGAACAAATACATGTACGTGCCGTTAATTAATTTGTAAAGGGATGTAGACAAGTGAAATTAAAATAAAATGAAATATAAACAATGTAGCATATTACAACTTAAACAAAAAACGATTTAAGTACATTCTAGCTAATAAAGCTTAAATTATGGATTTACTGGATTGATTTAAAACCAAGATTTATCTCTACAGTCGATATTAATAGGCATACATGATCAAGATCGCACGATCGCGATGGCAGTGAAATGAAAACCTGCAAGTTTGGGAATAATTCGCATTAGTGATAATGACCATTTCAATACATTCGTTATGTTTATTTGAATGTTTTCATCTTAAAGATGTAAGATTTTTGTCTGCAAATTAGTCTTTTTATGTAGCGTGTAAATATCTTTTGAATTGTTTAAATGTTAACGTACTCTATAACCCCGCGAAAAATATAGAATGGATGATGCGTTCTAGTATAATAGTTTGTATTGAAATTCAAAATTTTCCACTAGTAAATACGTTTCTGTTGTAGTATAAGAATAATAGGAAGATGTGGAATTATTACCAATTAGACAACAGGTCGACGTACGGCCTTCAACATTGAGTAAAACCCATACCGCATAGTAAGCTATAAAAGGTCCCGAAATGCAGATATCTATATTAAAAAAAATCATATACTGTACATCACTAAATATTAAACAACGTAGGTTCAAACATCGACAGTGACACTTTTGCCCATTCAGAGAGCAGACCAGCGACAACGCACACACTGTTACCATTATGGTTTAACATCATTAAGTTCAAAGGTTACGAATTCGAAACTATATCGACTGAGTCAAAACATGCCAAGAATACGGACCTTTTAGGTCAAAGATAGACGTCTCATTAATGTTATGATAAAAGCAACACCATTGTGTCAAATAGATATGGAAAGTTTTGTTCGGACAAGGTTAAAGAAGAAAATAAAAAATTGAAGAAGAAAAAGAAGAAGGACAAGAAGATCTCGCTTCGTCGAAGGGGGTGTATAATAAAGAAAAATGTGAAAATAAAAAATGTAAAAATAAACATAACTTTTATAAGTAATACATGTTAAAGAAGAATTTCTTTAAACAATCCTTTCCTTTATAAAAGAACATTCCCAGACCAATGCTTTGACAATATTGTCCGCATATACAATTAAATTATTGTGAACAAATGGTCGTCAAAATTTTGATGAAAATTGAAGACCCATCAAATTGGTATATGTTAGTTATAGTTTATAGCTGAGTATCCATTGAATCTAACTACTGGTGTCATTCCCGTATAACTAGCTTATATCTTCACTAATTGTAAAAAAGAAAAAGCCTTCAAGAAATTAAAAAGTAGAACACATATTGATCAGAAACAAGATATATATTATATGATGGATTTGGCTTTTATTTATATGTCAATTTTGGTCATATAGCTCTACAACTGTTTCAGTTCTTACACATCCTTGACTATCAAATATTCGACTTTGAGCGTTGGTGAAGGCGTTTTTTTTTGTTTTTTTTTTATTTTTAGTAAATAAAGATTGAAAACATGACAAGAAGGCCCAATTGTTCAATACATGCACTATGTCAGTGTTTAATAGAAGTGTTTGATCAATTATGTAATACAATACACAGATCAAAATATATCGATGATAAATGCCTAAGATTAATGTAAAAACACATATTTTTTTTAATGTGATTTTTTTTTAATTTGGAAAACACAACACTTTAACTGATCGATGATTGAAATATAATATAAACGTGAGATAATGTGATAAATTCAAACAAGCATGACCTAAGACTGTTTTTGTATTGTTTGATGTTCTCTAAATTTAGATTATGTAGCCATAACTTATTAGTTGAACATGGAATAACATAAACCTTGAAAACAGACAAATGTAATTTATGCAATCTAGTCATAGGTAATAAATTCCATTACATAATGAATGTGTACATTTCAGAGAAAAAAGAAAAACATATATTAAAGAAAGTTTGACTAGAAGGTCAAATAGTTTACCCTTACCTTTAAATATGTCTTTTACAAACAGGACAGAACTAAGAAGAAATCACTGTATTGTATTTCAAGCGAGTCATACTGCATATGTCTATGTATCCGCAAAATACGGAAAAAATAATTAAAGTATTTCTAAAATCATGCTGCCTTTTGATAATTGAATCAAGATTCATAAGTTTCATGAAAGTTATTACAAAGTTATTGATATCTGAAAAACTTAAACCCCAGACTGGAATCTGAACGTTAACTGCTAAAAAAAAGATATTATGGGTAGAATTTCATCAAAACTTTAGCATGGTATAGATGCTTGACGGTCGGATGTTGATGTCGTTTTGATGTTATATTATTGTTGATTGAGCACTTTCCTACTTATGCTTACCCGGCCCATATCTATTTAATAGCGGCATAAGGCACCAGCCATTCAACTTTTATGTATTTGTGTTTGGGGAGGGGCGGGCATTGTATCTTTGATTTTAAATAAATTTATTCAAAATTTCCTCGAAAAATTCAATATGTCTCAGATAGTATGTGCAACAATAGTTTGTTCCATTGAACATTAAGACGGAGAATGTAACATTGAGTTCCAAATACATGTCTTACGCATGTATGCTCATTCTCATTCCATTCTCAATTTTATGCTGTTGAAAAATAGTATTTACTTTAAAGTAGAAAAAGTGTTTCGCGAAAGAAAAACCTATGGCCCCTCACAAAAGATAAACAGTCGGTCTCTGAAGTATACGGAATCCACTATAATTTACAAAAGATTTTCAAGCAATCTATTACAGTTTTGCTAGTTGAATTTGTTAGAATTATTGGACTGATTAAAAAAAATGAAAACAACACTTAATCAATTTCCGGCGTCAGAAGCGCTTTTATGGATTCACCCTCATCAACAGCGCTCAAAGCTGAATATTTGAAAGCCAAGGATGTATAAGAACCGAAACAGTTGAGGAGCTATATGACACAAAAAAACAGTATAAAAACAATAAAATCAACTTTTTTCTGACATTGACCTAATATTGTATATTTTATCTAGTTCGATTCACAAGATGATGCATGAGTATTGATTTATTTGCTAAAAATAACAAAAGTTAATGATGCAAAAATTAAAGACATTAAATAGGACATAATCAACTGACTATGAAATGCCTCATTTCATAATGTCTGGGACAAATTAAAACTAAATGAGTTATTTTCTAACATCAATTTAGTGATTTCTATCCTAATTGATCTTAAAGATATATAGCTTCATAAATTCAAAGAAAGAACATGTTTGCATATATAAATACTGGTAAATATGGAATGAGTCTATCACAAAATTTGACAGACTACTAATTGTACTATGGAGAAAGCCACCTTTCTCTTTTTACTAGGACTAGGAGTAGTTAGCTTTTATGAAGGTAAGGTTTAGAAGATGTTTGGTAGTACTATAAAAAAAAGGAAAAACCGGGTATGGTTTGCATGCAAATTAAACTTATTCTTAAATTAATTTCTAAGCAATTTTATATACTTAATAGAAAAAAAACACAACTTTTTCCTATGCGAAGTGAAAGGGATATCATTTTGCTAGAAAGCAGTTGGTATATGTGGAAAGATGAAAAGGGAGAACGAAAAAGAACAAAAAGACGGAAGAAAAAACAAAGTGAGAAATGGAACAAAATAATGGAGAACAATGACTTCGACAGTTCTCCCTTTAATTTCGGTGATGCATACGTGTACGGATTTTGAAAAATCCTAAACTTTCTACAACTGTACAGTTTGTAGAACAACTGAAAATCATGAACTGCAGTCTCTTTGACATTCTATCTTGTTTCTATACTGCATCTATTAAAAATGAACTTGGAATATAGTATGCCACAAATACATTTAAGTATGCCTTATTTCTTAAATTACATCTAACAAGTTTTAGCTTTCTAAAAAAGCTTTGGAGTGCCTCGCTCTATCATAATTTTAAGTAAGAAGTGGCTCATGTAGTTATCTAAGTACGTGAATGGTGTTATTTATCCCTTTGTGCATATACTCAAAGTGTGATCTTATAAGCCCGTCTTAGATGGGTTTATTATGAATACATCCTATAAAAACTTAAATTTGCTTTAACCAATTCCCACGAAAATAAAACGGAACATTTGGATCGATAGACGAAAACTTTCTTTTGATTCTGATGTGTCGTCATTTCAGGGATACCGTTGATTTTGAAAATTTATGATTTGTCATTCTACAGTTATGGGAATTATGCTAAATATTCTACATGGCATACTCTAGATCTAGAATGTTTTGATTAACTACAAACTTTACACTGGTGTTGGTATTGGCGAATCTAGACTCGCTTTGGATTTAGATATTTTATAGTTTGTCGTTCAATAAAGTTATAAGACTTTTAACAGTCAATTTTGACGCAATATTTATTTTCATATGGATATCCTCATGCATGTTTTAATTTCCTACGCTGCAATGTTACTAAGTTGTTATTAGATGCATAAATATTTCAGATCTTCTCACAATAATTCTAATGCACGAATCGGGGGTATCATGTGGTCTTGACATAGCTGGGTTTTTTTATATATCATTTTGTTTTATAACATGGAATATACATGGAATTCTGACAATTTTCTTGAAGATCACTGGCAGTTATATGTATTTTAAGTGTTGGATTATATGCATATATAGTCAGATGAGCACTCAGAAACTAATTTATCTTTGTCCCTCTTCTAATTTATCAACACGAATTGCCTCGACATTATATAGCCAGGTAAACCAGTAAAGGCAAAATCATTCATTGATCGAGTATCAGATTGGATCGCGAATACCCATACTGTAACTATGTCCGTATCTAATATCTTCTCCTGTCCGGGACATGTTCCCAATTCTATATCTAATTCTAGCCAATAGAATCTTTCCTTCATCAACAGGCAACCAATGAGAACCAATATTTGGTACGTTAATTCAAGATGGCGTGAATATCGCATGAAACTGATAACTTCGCAAAGCAAAATTGTCAATCAGGATTGGTTGAGAACTAAGTTTTAGGAGAAAATGGACGATTTAGATTTTCCCGTTGTGAACTTTCCATTTCTTAATAGCAAAATTCCAGCAGCGCATATGAAATAGGTATCTCCCAGTTGATACGATATTCCAGGGCTTGCGTTTCATATAATGATCTTCTTGATAGGGGGCAAATGCTAACATGGAAGATATTGCCTAGATGGTTCCAAGTGGTTATGTTGAATCATCCCTCCGAAAGATTTAAGGACGCCATAATTATCATTTGGGTGACCGTTGTGGCATATTTGTGGTGCATAATACCACTTGCCGATACTACAATCCTGTCCATGATTGTGACATTACCGAGTTCGACTTATCAACGGGTTTTCACTTACATGATCAACACGGCGGGTGCAACATTCGGAGCAGGAACTCATGACGTGCTACGGCACCTCAATTAACCAACGGTTATTATTGGGGCTTGTGTTTCTCAATCTATAGTTAAGTTTTTGCTGTTTATCTTTTTGTTATTTAATTTTGGCCATGGTAATGTCTATTTTACGGACTTATTGTTCCCTTGGTAGTGTCTCTCTCTGTCTCTCTCTGTCTCTCTCTCTCTCAATGATACGAATAAATGTAAATACCGTGACTACGTCCTTAATCTTGCAACCCAGCAACCAAATAAAAACAAGAGACACCAAAGCTGAACATGCGGTCCTAAACAGAGAGTCAACTTCTAAATCGTCAAGAGTCTTGGCAATTTGTTAATTTTAATAGAAATGATAAAACATGTATTGTCAGTTTTGTCAGACGATAGAGAAGATACGTGTACCGAAGGACAATCAAAAACACACCCCACCACAGAACATAGTCATATATGGAGTCCGTAAAACTATTCAAGGGTTAACTTCAACTTTTAGAACCCCTTAGTTCAATGGCTTTCTTTAAAGCAGCACCGCCATATTATATTTCCCGGTTGATAGTATTTATTTATATTCAATTTCAGCTGATGCAATATGTTCGATATCTTGTAGCTGGATTGGAAAAACCTTCATCAGAATAGAAGATAATGCCAACTTCAAGTTCTCATGTGAAGATACTTCTACATACACGATGTCCTTGGGAAACGGCAAGAGTTCAACGGAACAATGCGTGTGGTTGTCGGGTGCATTTTTGGTCGTAAGGTAAACATAAGTTTAAAATACTGATACGTGTAATTGTGGAGTCATATTGCAAAATATCAGTTTTCCGTCTTCAACTTGGTTCTTCTACTCGGTGCTTATCGTAATAGGGTGAATGACAGTCAATGTAAACTCAGATAAGGGATAAAAAAAGAGTGATAGAAATGATATGTAATTTATGACATTCATTTGTCAACTTCCGAAGCAAGGTTGTCGACTGTTCGAACTGTCCCGAAGTTCTCCGTTTGACTGCCGAGTTTATGAGCTTCGGTCCTTGCTTGGAAGTTGATTCATTTGTGTGTGTTAAAAATGTATCTTCCTATAAATATATTTAATATTTGTCGTAATTATCTGTGTTTGTATGTTTATTTTGGCTTATTTCATTGATCAATTTATTAATATAATAATTCTAAATAAAAGGACATGTGAGGTTTATATTTATGAGACAGCAAACCAACGACTCAAAAATTAAAAATTAAACTTATCTAGGCGTCAATAAAAAAAAGTTTGGGGAATAATTCATGTTACACCGGAAAGAACCCTGAATCTTCATCGACAAATAACTACAAACAACCACGTGCACTGACGAGGTATCTTACATAGGACTGACATATAATCACGTCGCTGTATTAAACAAGATTTTCTAAATTCTCAACTCTTCGATTGTAAATCGAGCGGTGGAATGACAAAAACTCACTTAAAAGAACATACAACACACCTGTTTCGAGGAAGCACTTACTGTACATGTAAGTCTGTAATAGTGGTTTAAAAAGATAAGTGTCCTCATCATCCGTTTTGTATGTTGATAAAGTTGCTACTATTGAACAACGTATAATCGACCTCTATTGATGAATATATTGATATCTTATATCCAGCGGCAAATATTACAGGCATATCAGGACGAAAATAAATGTGTGTTTTATGAAAATTAACCCTGCTCTATACTAAAGACCGAAACGCTGAACTGGTTTTGTATCGTGCTGGTTCATAAGTTAAGGAACCTCAGGAACATATACAGTCAAACATTCTATAAAGATCACCTCTATTTAGGCTTATCGACCTGTCTTGTCGGGTCACCATTTTCTTGTATCTTTGTAGTAATACCTATTTTGAGCCTCAATTAAAAGGTCACCTCTCTTATAAGCTCAGTTTTCTCTGGTCCCCGTGTGACCTTCATATACAGGTTTGACTGTATGTCACTCTATCCGATCACACTATTCCGATTTCGAGCCGACTAGTATTTGCTCGAACTACTAATCGGAGAAGCAGCAGATACCAACTTTTTAGAAATTGGTTCGAAACAATATCCTTCTTCCGCACTCGAGGCAAGCACGCTACCACGAAACCACCTAGTAGGCGATTAACTTCAGTAAATAGAACATATGACCGCCATTATACCAAAACCCCACTTGTTCTTCCTACTTATAGATACCTTCGATCTTAATGCATACACGAGTTCAAATATTAATAACGACAATGATTTCTTCTATAAGATAATAAACTTTCAACGGTATTTAACACGCATTGTAAAAGTGAACGATGATTCGTATTTCAGGAGGAACCAACATGAATACAGATGCTGGAAGATAACACATGATGATAATGTCCATGTATCTACTTTTGTAACGCCATGGCGTGAGTATTTTAAGACAAAGAATCTTATCATGGCCCAGTCAGATATAAACGTTTTGGTGATTTCACATACAATATACAATGTACACAAGCTAAGGTCAAATGCCGCTGAAGAAAAAAAAGAAACTGACGATAATCTGAGGTTGAAGTAGTTTCAAAATTAATTGATCACGTGATCGGTAAGTTTACAAAAAATAAAGTATAGGAAAAAAATGCATTTCTCATCTTCGATAATCTTCGTGTTTTCTCGAGAGAAAAAAAGTGACACAGCATATCATTAAACTAAGTACCTTTGATAAAAAAAAAATACGAAATGCATCTTACTTTTTATGTATGTTTAGTTAGTGATTACTATTTTTATATTCTCTACTTTTCACACGATTTCAAAATCGTGTACACACTTGAGTCAAGTGGAATTTAATTTATTGACTCAAAGTAAAATAGGGGGGTAGCAGGAGGATATTTTCCGGATTGATCATTTATTTTCATCTGTTGCTACGCATGCTTTTTACCACGTTTATACACATTTGTTTCCTACATTTTGTATTGCAGAATATGCATTTTCATCCTGTTTTTTGCAAAGTTATTTGTTTTCAGTTCTTACCAGGCCAAGTTATTCATTTTCCAAAATCCTCCTGTTCCCCTTCACCCACCTCATCCCCCCTTAAAACCTTAAAACTCAATTGGTCGTCCTCTTACAATTAAATAAACAAAAACAATAGAAACGGCATAGTCATTAGAAACGATAATTAAATGTGTGTTACCTCCTCAGCTTTAATATCAATTTATCACTAAATCGGTTTCAGAACTAGTGCATAAACCTTTAAAAGGACACAATAAATTAAATGCTTCCATAGACAAGCAAAAACAATATTTAAAGAAAGGGGAATAGCGCCTTTAATCTTTAGTCTTTAGTTTTCTATGTTGTGTCATCTGTACTATTATTTGTCTGTTTGTCTTTTTATTTTTGGCCATGGCGTTGTCAGTTTGTTTTCGATCTATGAGTTTGACTGTCCCTCTGGTACCTTTCGTCCCTCTTTTAAAAAGGATATAATGGAAGGATAAGCTTGATGTCTAGGTCTTACTTGCAATTATTTCGGCAAAAGGTAAATTCAATTTAGAAGACATATGATTCAAAGAAAATAAAAGCTTCTTGAAATGAAAAATCAACATATTTGAAATGTCCCAACAACAAATATAGAAATAAGAAGATGTAGTATGATTGCCAATGAGACAACTCTCCACCAGGGACCAAATGACGTACAAGAAAGCAATTATAGGTCACCGTAGGACCTCCAACAATGAGTAAAACCCATACCGCATAGCATGCTATTAAAGACTCCGAAATGAAAAACAGTAAAACAATTCAAACGAGAATACTTACGGCCGGATTATTTATAAAACAATTGACGAAAAACAAATGTGATAAACAGCAACAAACGACAACCACTCAATTACAGGTCCCTGACCTGGGACAGGATCATTCAGAATGTGGCGGGGATAAATATGTTTGCGGGAGCTAGCCCAAAAGTTGCTAAGACACTTTATGAACGCTCATAAACACGTATCGGAAATTTAATAACACATTTTCCTTTACGATTAAAGTAAAGGACGAATGCAAAAGTGTAAGGATCAAATCATCAATTTTGAGTTTTCATTTAATGTCGTTACACAAGAAAAAGCTTAAAGCCACAGACCTGTGCTAGGGGTCGTCTTAAATTTGCAGTGAGGTGAGTTTTTGCTGTGTGTTGAAGGACTCACTGTGATTTTGAGATGAAAAATAGCAATAAAGCACTGTGCCTTTGCTAATTGTGATTTGCTATGCAAGTACTGCTTGTGTGTCATGGATGAATATCCTATATCCTTTCTTTAATATCAATTGAATGTAAATTAAATCATTTGGATCATACGGCTTAAAATTTGGAAAAGTCCCGAAACTCGAAATTAATGTAGTAATAAAATATTTCAGGATTTTTTAAGCAGCCACCGGCAACAATATGTGACGTCTGTGGTGGATTTCAGAAGAAAGCAATAATTCATTTTGGTAATTATATTATTATTAAAGTGATAAATTTGCGGAAGAAGAAGAAACTACATGGTCTCACAAGTCTTACAACTACAATACAAAAAAGAATGTGTCCATAGTACACGGATGCCCCACTCGCACTATCATTTTCTATGTTTAGTGGACCGTGAATTTAGGATCAAAATCATTAAGATTAGAAAGATCACATCATAGGGAACATGTGTACTAAGTTTCAAGTTGATTGGACTTCATCAAAAACTACATTGACCAAAAACTTTAACCTTAAGCGGGACAGACGGACGAACGGAAGGACGAACGAACGGACACACAGACCGAAAAACATTATGTGGGGCATAAAAATGGGATGTGGTATGACTTCTTACATGTATGACACAAATATCCAGAGACCACAGGATAAACAAAAACGCATACCGTATAATTAGCTTTAAAAGTGTCCGGTTGCCGTATGACAAACAATGAATTGGATATGCATTCATTTCTCCGATATCAATGTTTAACTGTTTTTAAAAGTGAAATCTAATTTTATTTGAACAACTGTTTTACATAGAATAAACAAATCTGGTAAGTATATGTATTTTTACACAATAAAGTCCTCAATTCTAATTAAAATATAGAACTCTGATTTCGTAATCTCCATAAGAACCAGAGTTCTATATTTTGATAAGATTGTAAAGTCCTCCCACATTTTGATATTTACAATGAACCTATGAACCTTTAGATGGTTTGATGAAAATACAATTGTTATAAAAAATAAACCAATTCTAAAATGGTATACTAGCCTCTTGATCTTAACAAAAAAATCATACCGTATCGATGCATATCTTAGTATGAGAGTATGGTATAAAGTTCGAGTAGGAAAATTAGTTTTTTTTTATCTCGTTCGAATGCTTGCAATTTGATAGTACAATCAATACTTGCTGCTACATGTATTCCGGTGAGACAACGACACTAAAGATTCAGGACAAATACTAGTCGGTTTAGAGTCGGAATGTCCTCTAATGGTAGTCTGTTAGTTTCTATGATTGCATGTACGTACAAATCCGGCTCTGTGTGGTGGTCTAATAGAACTGATATTTTGCTTATTTCATTCTGATATAATTTTTTTGATCTTTGTAATCAAATTACATGAAAACGATTGCAAAGCTGTCCGCGCGTAAACAATTAATCTAAACGTCACATGCACAAATTTAGTTACTTATTATTAACCATTTGTTTTTCAGTTCAAGGAAGTAAACCAAACAGTGAGTATTTTCATGATTGTATTTAAGTTTTTCTAAGGAGGTAGGCATAATAACTCCTATTTGTTCAAAAAGTGCTTGTACAAATTAAAATTAGTACAAAATTTGACTAAAAATCACTTATAACTTGTACAATAATTTATAATATGGATTTGGTAAAAAAAAAAAAGCATTGATACACACTATAGAATTCTTATTTAATGGCTACACAATAAACCTTATTTACAAAATACAAAAAAAGTTCTGTATCATTTGTTTGAGCATATGAGTGAATTGTGGCATCTGGAATTTCACAACATCTTTTGCCTTTTACATTAGCATTTACACGAAAGAAACCCCCGCCACCATCTCTTTTACAGATTGATAGTATAGAATAAGGCCATCTGAATTGAAACAAATCCATAGTCGCACACTAGCCTGATCAATGACATTGTTTGAATAATTCTACCCTAAGTTAAGTCGCCGATAATAGTGTGAAGGGTGACATTATGTTAAAAAAGTAGCTTACAATGAACTTGCTTTTAGCAATAACAGTCAGAAGTTTTACAATATATTATGTATATTCCTTACGTAATACCACTGATTGTATGTTAACCTCTTTATTTTATATTGCTGGGTTGCTGTACAATTGACGTATACCACAGATCTCATTTATTTTTAAAATTGAACCTTACGTACACCATGTACACAAAGCAGCTGTTGTATGAACTGAAATAAACAAAATTTACTAATGCCCCCTTTCTTGGTGAGTTTTTCGATTTCAGCTTCTAGGACATCATCATATTTCTTAGCAAGTATCTATCTTGATCATTTTTCTTCAAAACTGTTTCGGCATACTTCACTTTAGCTATAAGCCCAATAAGCTTGTACTTGGTACATACATATAATTGTGCTTTGTTATATTATTTTCTGCTAGTCTCAGAACTTCTTGGACAAATTTATCCTGCTAATCAACAATGCAGGCCATGTTTAAGCTATTACATCAGTTGATTAAATAAACAAAAGAGTGTTCACAAACTCCTGGGATATATATCTTTGGTAATTTATTAAAACAATTGACCCCAAAATAATGAACAGTTGAAAAGTGTTGAATACAAAAATGTTATCCTCCAGCCAATTAAAATGTATAACTATTAAAAATATACAAAAGGTCATCATTTCCATCGTGTTAAATTATCATTTATCCTTTGTACAAATTATAAGTGAATCTTTCTATGTTGTGATGTTACACTATTGTTTCAGATAAGGGTGAAGGTTTGGTACCATTAAAACGTTTAAACCCGCTGCAATTGTTTGCACCTGTCCCAAGTCAGGAATCTGATGTTCAGTAGTTGTCGTTTGTTGATGTGGTTCATAAGTGTTTCTCGTTTCTCGTTTTTTATATAGATTAGACCGTTAGTTTTCCCGTTTGAATGGTTTTACACTAGTAATTTTGGGGCCCTTTATAGCTTGCTGTTCGGTGTGAGCCAAGGCTCCGTGTTGAAGACCGTACTTTGACCTATAATGGTTTACTTTTATAAATTTTGACTTGGATGGAGAGTTTTCTCATTGGCATTCATACCACATCTTCTTATATCTATTTAGTCAAATTTGTACAAGCATTTTTTTGGACAAATTACAATTGTACATGATATATTAGGCATGAAGATGGAATTGATTGCAGATTAGTTAAACTATCTATCGAAAAGAATCGTAAGATACAGTCACAGAAATAATTATTTGATAAATACGCCTAAACAAGTGACAACTCTAGGATAGATCCATGTATTGGATCACCAGTGAAGGCGATACACGGCTTAAAACACATATTATATTCATAATCACTCTAAATATCAGCACAACAATGCTAAATTGTTCTTCCCTCGCCGGGATTCGAATTCATACTATTTGGATATTGAGACAACACCGCCTGCAATGTGGCCAGCGCTCTAGACCACATAATTACTCTAAATATCAGCACAACAATGTTAAATCTGCAAATTTGCGGAAGCATATATATGAAGTTGGCTAGCTCAGAAGGTTCTTCGTGTATACAGTTCTTCTCATGTCAGCAGCAAGTAAGATAGCAGTGTGGTATCCTAAATGCAGCTAACACTTAATTATATATTATGACTACACGAATATACTTCTCAAAGTGTTCAACATTTCTTTCAATGCCAACCATATATCCTTTTGTTTACTTATTCTTTAAATTAACATTTTTGGCTTCCGGGAATGTGCAAATACTTTTGTTCTTTCTACTAAACCTTTTTCTTTACATTATCTAGAACACACGATTGAACGTCGTAAGTATGAAATATTTTATTGCAATTTAAGGATAATTATCAATTATATTTACTACATATTTTAGAACTATCAAAGGAGAGTTTAAGGTAATATATATATGTCGACTAAACAGCAAACATACGACAAAAAGTAATAGGAAGTTCTTTTTTTATTATAATTGTATAACTAATATTCAACTTTGAAAAAATAACATTGATATATTTTGTGCAAATAAGTTTAGATTATGACTAGTATAATACATTCTCTTATGCCTAGTTCACACATTCACGGATTTGACGCCGGATTAGCTACGGATACGATCCGGCATCATTCGTGGCACTCTGTATTGGTCCGTAGATGTCCGTATTGTAGCCGTAGTCATGCGTAGTAGTACTTGTATATCTGGGACAATTTTTGAACATGCGCAAATTTGACCACGGATCAAGCAACCGTAGTATATCCTTACTAAACCGTATTAGAACGTACTGATCCGTTTTAGTCCCTATTAAAACCGTATTCATCCGTACTTATCCGTAGGCCCGAAGGATTTCTACGGTTGTTTCCGGAGAACTACGTATTAGTACGGTTACATCACGTATTTGTTAAGAATACAGTACGATATGTTACGAATTTGTCACGGAACGGCACTATTTCATTACGTTGCAATACGGATAGCTAGGGATCAGGCAGGGTTCTCAACGTCTTTTACGGTTTACTATGTTACAACACGTCAAATACGAAATATTACTGTCCACGACAAACTGGCATCAGGCTTCTGTAGAAATATTCCCTTCTTATAGGGCCCAAGGTAGTCTGTGTATTGCCGTAGAGGTATACATAACATTATCCAACATGAACAAAAACTGATGCTTGCAATTAACTGACTGGCATTGGTTATTGATATGGCACAAAATGCCAGAGCAGTGGTCGAGATACCTGATGACCGACGTAGACGTGGCCGAAGTCAGAGGACTAGGGACTTGCTTCTCCGAAGACCTATCCATGGCCAGTATAAGGCCCTCATGGCTGAACTTTGTACGGAAAATCCAGCTGCTTTTAAGAACTAGGTAAGAATAGACACAAATATGATTCAAGAACTGCTACATGTCGTTGGTCCGAGGATTACGAAGAACACCACCTGGTACAGACAGACCGATAAATAATTTAATAAAACAAAACAAAAAAATCATCGATTCACTGCCATAAAGAAATGATAAATCACAAGCTTAATTAGAAATGATTGACGGCTTAGAAAATGTGGTTATTTGTACTATTCCGTATCAGACCTTTCTTATTCGTACTATTCCGTCTCAGACCTTTTTTATTCGAACTAACCCTTACTTATACCGTAGCAAACCGCTGTTTATCCGCAGTGCATACGCCCCAACACTTGTCGTTGCGTATAAACCCGTGTCATTTCCGTATTAAACCGTGTTGTACCGTAAGAATCCGTATCACTCATGCCGCCAAATGACCCCTTTCCTACTTCACCCTTGGTAGATACGTCAAAACCCGTAGTCACACCGTTGTGCACCCGTATTGGATCCGTAACAGACTACGGAAACTGTATTCCCGGGATCATCCGTGTGATTTAATCCGTAGTGGAACCGGCGAGGTGATCCATGAATGTGTGACCTAGGCATTATGGTGGTGACATGTTATCTATTTCCGGCATGAAAAGGTATTCTTATATCATAGTGAACGGAGTCTGATATGAATAAGCGATACACTAAATGCTTTACTTTAAAAGTCACATTTTCTCTTGGCAACAGATATTTGGATTATTAAAGATAAGCAAAACACTCACATTTTCACCCGAAAATATTCTTTTTATCAAATTGATTCTATTCTAAAGCGTAGAAAAAGCGTGAAAAACGTACGTTTGATAAGAATAGAAGTCTGGGTTCCGGACACAATATTTTCAATACCGTACATGATATATTATTTGAAGCTTGCGAGAATAAAAAATATTTCACCAGGCAAAGATATTTTTTACCATAAGAGAAATTGGTTTACAAACTTTACAGAAATAAATATTGCTCGATATCAAATCGCGGTATCTAATTTCAATAATAATAACAAAATCTCTAAAAGCTCGTTTAATTTGTCAATATAACGGAACTATACACTATAAACTATACAAGTGGGAGGTTAAGATAGCTAAAATAAAACATGGTTAAACCCACCTTTTTCTTTGTCAAATGCCTGTATCAAGTCAGGACTTTACACAGTTGTTTTCTATTCGTTCCGTTTCAAGTCTCAAGTTTGATTTTGGCAGTTTTATGGACTCTCCCTTTTTGAGTTTGGTATTTTTGTTATACTTTTCTTATTTTTATGTTGAAATTAAATAACTAGACTTCATATCAAGCTTATCCAATTCTCACTCATTATAAAACTTATAGTTCTTCTGCAAAAAATAAAAAGATGAAGTATAACATTAGCCGTTTGCAGTTTCCTATAGTAACAAACAAAAGGCATACCCGTAACACATTAATTAACGAGCTGTAAACACCGATTTATGATCTGATATTGTTTCATATGTGTTACCCTTTTTACGGTTCTAAATATGATAATGTTTATGCAAATTTGAGGAGAGGCATGTTGTCAAGCATTTAAGGCAAACATAAACAAACTTAGATGAAATATTTTTGTGTAAATGTTACATTATCTGTATTGTTTATTGTTTATTTGTTTTATTTAGTAGCAGTTTTATTGTTTGGATTTTATACTAATAGATATCTGATATCTTATCTTATATGTGTTAGAGGACGACTATTTCATATTCTAGGGGAGGGGGGGACAGGGGACGATCTTTTGCGGATTGACTATTTTTAAAGTAAATATAAATTTTCGCACTGCAAAGCGGAGCATTTTTTCGCATGCGTAGCAACAGGTGAAAAAAAAAACTCCTATCCCCCCTCCCTCTTCCAGAAAATCAAATGGTCGTCCCTTACTCATACATTTTCTGATCGACATTACTGAAAAAAAAGTCACGACATCCTACCAGCTATTTAAAATGAAACGAACGTACGTATTTCATAGTGAAAAATAATCGTTCTGAAAGAAAAACACGATTCATGACTAATTCATGGATTTTATAAAAGTAGCAACATCTGGCCATTCCCTCGGTGGTCTCGTAATTTGTTCGCTCGCATCGAATGCGGGAACTCATGGGCTCGATCACATGCATGGTCAAACCAAAGACTTATGAATTCATATTCATTTCCTATTACCTTATTAACGTTTTGATATGCCTATAATATTTGCCACTGGACGTTAACATCAATTCATTGTTATCATCACCATTTGTAAAGAATGTAAATATTTCCCAAATTGTCGATTTTTCTCTAAAAATTCAAAAATTCGACAGAACATGAAAGCTTCCTTTGATGCTATATAAAAATACGTCTTTATTAGTTTCATCATGTGACATTTAACATTCATAATTTTCATTCTATATTCTCTGTTTTTCTTTTTTAAACAGTGAGCAGGGGACGTAAGTATATGACAATCTTAATAAACTTTACATGCATTTCTCTTTAGTCATATTAATTTATGAAGAATATGAGGATCAGTGCATGGTTTTTTTGTAGCTAACCAAATTTTCGTTTTTTTTTTTTTTTTTTTTTTTTTTTTAAATAAATATATTTACCTTATTGACATGTGTCGCATTATATTTTTTTTTTGTGAAGGCATTTTTCATATATTAATTTCAGTATTTGTAATTTTAATTTTTATTTCAGTTTCATATTATAACATTTTAAGTGTTTAATATTTACTGCACAAGATACGCATTTCGACAATCAATGTCTCGTCAGTGATGCTCGAGTACAGGATATTTGAAAATTCACAACCTAACCAAACGTTTGAGTGCTGGTAAACCAAACAGGATCAAAAATTATAAGCAGAGCTTTACGCGAGCTCGAGGCAGATTCATTCCTTATTCTATAATGATTTCCATAATTTTATAACAGATATTTAAATTTATAATTTAAATAATATCATAAAAATAAACAATATAATCTGTTTGTAAAATGACATTGATGTGGTAAATCTAAAGTTATAACTCTCTCATACAAAATTGGCCTTAGACGACTTTTCCTGTCCTATCGAGACTCGTAAGGTTTTCATTTTGTTAAACGTTTTATGGTTCGATTTTCAAAGGTAATAAGGATATTCCTGAGCCATGTGCGCAAGAAAATGGTGCATGCATCAATCGTTTTATTTAACTCTGGTTGGCTCGGTAGCGCTTCCAGTGCAGAGTTATTGGTGTTTCCCATTAAAATCAGTAGCTACTTAACTATTTACCGGTGTGTGTACAATTTAATTTTTATAAAAATTTAGAACCCCTTTTTCAATAAATATAAAAATGCTTAAATAAACTAAGTAATATAACAAATATTAGAAAAAAAATCAAGCTTTAATAAACTTCAAAATGACATAATTGTAATTCTTTGATTTAATGTGATTTTTTTCAGGTATTGGTTGCAATAGACCAAAACATTGCCCGATCGTCAATCCTCATGTGGATTGTCCTTGTCAAGGATGTGAAAATCCACAAAATGAGGAAGGAATGTGCTGTCCTCAGTGCCAGAAATCATACGGCTCATTATTTTATGGACACTAGGTGTCAAGGAGAGAGGCATACGTAAAAATAAAAGTTTGATAAAAGCGTGTTTCTTTGAATCTTCCAATAAGTAGCATAATATCGAATATGCTTGAAATGTTTGCCACTGGACGTTAAACAAACACCAATAAATCAATCCATTAGTTATATATATAAATACATTCTACAACGGTTCTTGTATTTTCTTTTATAAGTGCATAGGCTTATCACGAGCAAAAATCGCCTACACTGTAGTATCGTTTATTAGTCGTAAGTTTGGTGTTTCGTAATCATAACATAGTGTTTGGACACGTTATACTTTCTCTTTAATCTTTTTGTCCTGGTCTTCTTAAATCCTCTCCAAATTGGGAATTCATATTTGCGTCTTTGTATTTTCTTATCTATTTCAAATTTACATGCCCAGCAATGCATGATACAAAAAAGGATAAATATTGGATCGTAAAACATGGCACACCAACAGCTGACTCCTTCGGAGATAAAGACGTACAAATAAAAACAAATAACAAGTCCAGATACTTGAATGGCCTATATTCACTTAACCATTAATCATTTGGTTGGGGTTAATATGTTGAATTGTTTGCTTCAACAAATTTGTGGCATACTAAACAACATACAAATTATAAGTCACTAATGGATATGACGTTTCGCATGTCCCTGGTAAGTTTATTCATTGCTAGTTTATATTTTGTATAAATATAATATGTTCAGTTTGTATAAACCACATCTGTGATGGCGATCATGAATTGTGATTGATTGATTGATTGATTGATTGATTGATTGATTGATTGATTGATTGATTGATTTACGCCGCATCATCACAGAAGGTTACTTTGGGACGAGACTCATTATGTTAATGAATAATATTCTTGTTTTGTATCGAATTTTAACTGACAGTGATTAAGGGGACAAGATAATTCAAATGTAAGAGGAAGGTATAGAAGCGAGAAAAACATAAGCAAACCGAAAACACCAATAAAAACCTCAACCTTGCGAATTATGAATAGATGCACTTAATTTGTAATCTCATGTGGTATTTTCGATGACACAACCGGGCTATTTTTTTAAAATGTAAAAACAAATTTTACTCATGTGATACTCTAAGGGTGCGTTCAAGCTTAGGCTTAAAGAAGATTGGAGCAATTTTATAGAGATTCAATCCGATATTTTTTTAAACACTTGAAGGCTTTAAATTACTTTTGAATATAAAATGTAATGCATGTCAAAAAATGGATCAATTGTAAAAGATGAAAAACGAATTTACGCAAAACATGTTTTACATAGGTAGTGTGAAACAGCCTAAAACAGCAAAGAACAAAGAACAAAGTATTAAGGATGTTCGCTCCTCTTATTTTTTAATGCTTGCCAGATATTCGGAATCTTCTGGTTTTATCCATGTAGTGCTATTAAAAATTTTGTCCGCTAACCCCTACTTTTCTTTTCACAATTTCATACCATATAGTTTAAAAAGCCATATTTGAAAATATTATAAAATTCTCGTTATTGTTTAATAGTGTTTGAAAGAAAAAAGGTGCCAATGTTAAATGAATGAAAAATCTAGAGAGTATCATTTCCCGCGATAATGTACATTTAAGTATAAAAACAAATAACGACATGAAATTGATACTATAGTTAGAAAACATTAATGTGAAACAATTTCAAATGGGTTGTTTCAATTACAATCTTTTCATATGAAGAAAACTCTAAGCACATTTGTAAAATTTTTACGAAAATAACATTTAACCAGAAAGCGACACAACTCAATATTTATTAGTAGAGAAAACAAGAATATCGCTTACAAATAAATTTGTAACAATGTATCTATAAGAAAAGGGTTACACTATCTTAAGTAATTTTATTATGAAATAAGATTATTGATAAAATAAAAATAGCATTACCAAGTCGAAGCAGTCCTTGGCCTTGTGCCGTTTCCTTTGTTGATAATGGATTGAAATTCGTCAGTTTGTCCATCTCTTGTCACGGTTCTCTTCGATTTACCACTTAAGATTCGCCAGAAGGAATTAATAAATTTGACTGTATTTACAACACAAACTCTAATATGAGTATAGACAAATGTGTGGACATAGAAACGTTTTAAGGCATGACAGAAACTAGATAAATACATTTTAAATGCATTATACATTGTATGTTCCAAAAAAATTAAAAATATAACTGAATATTGTAGATTCCTTTTTATCCGGTTAAACTGAAATATATTTACCAAATCTCAATTCGGTGCAAATTGACGAAAATTCGACAAAAATTAAAGAAATGACCTTAAAGATTCATAATATTGTTGTTCTTGCTACAATCTACAAGTCCTCTCAGAAATGGTTTTGAATGTTTCGAATGAAGCCGGAAACGCCTCACGAATTTATCATTAAAGATCAGGAGCAAACAAAAATGGAATATTTAGTTTATACTAAGTTCCATCATCTATCAAACGTGATCCCGTGCGTGAATCAAGAAGAAATATGCAATCACATTTTTTCAGCTTTCGAGGTAAAAATTAAAATTCGCAATAAATGGAGAAAAGATAAATCAGTTATTATGTAGTATGTTGCAATACCTTTCTGGTACGGAGTTTTTGAGTAAATCATTGATTGAAGAAAACTCATCTTTTATTTATTATAATTATTGCGTAATCTATAATGAATTTTAAAACTGATTTTGAAATTTCGGAATTTCTAGAGTCCGTTTGGCTGTGCGAGTTCTTTATAACGTCCAGTCAAACTCGAAAAATACCAAAATTCCCTTACATTAATAGCATTAATTACCCTGAGTAATAATCCTTCGTTGTATACCATCATTAAAATAACCTCTTCAATGTGTGAGATTGTGAGTTTGAAGCTCGATTGTGGTAGGTGCTTCCTCCGTCAATAACAACTGGTTGCCACAATATTTGCCAATAGTGCTAACAGTGGCGTTAATCAATAACAACCCATCAATCAATCACTGTGTTTTTAATTTTTAAATGCCATCAAAATATCCTCCACACCTTTTAGATTTGTATATGACATCTTTGAAGTTCTTGCATACTTGAAATGAGCACCACAGATTGAAGATAGATTAGGAATAGTTTATGGAATTTTTGGGGTGTGACGCTTAATATATTTCAGAATCAATCTGTTATGACAATATCCTACACGGTGCTATCAAATCTACCTCCAGCAGAAAAGTTATTAAAATAAGGTAACTTATTTCTTTTTAATGATACATTTTTTTTCAATTTTTAGTTCGGAATTTCTAATCTTAATCAAATTTTAGAAATATTCGTGCAGGATTGTATCAATTTCGTTAAATGAGATATTGCTACAGTTTCCATTAAGAGCCTTCAAACTAGACATGTGCATCTCCTATTATAGATACTTTAGGGACTCATTTCCCAATTGTAAAACTTGGTCATTTTTCAGAAACATTATTAAGGATGGGTTCGATTTTTTGTCATCAAATCCTCCTTTTGTTTTATAGTTAATTCCATCACATTATGTAGAATGTAGAAAGCTCACTCCTGGGGTTTTTTTTTGTGGGGTTCGTATTGCCCAGTCTTTAGTTTCAATGCTGTGTTTTTGTATACTGTTTTATTGCCATGGCAATGTCAGTTTATTTTGACTTATGAGTTTGAATATCCCTTTCGTATCTTTCGCCTCTCATAGTGCATGTATAAGACATTTGTATTAATGGTGTAAATAATTCATCTCATAAAATTACATGCAATTTTGCATTGCAACCCGACAGTTGAAGCATTGAATGATACGATATGATATGTCTGCCCCTGGTGATTTATTATCTTGGATGTCAATTTACCCTTCCCAGTCAAGTGAAATTGTCCTTAATATGTCATTTATAGAAATACTAATACATCCATGGTACATTTGTAATACCGATTAAGACAAGAAGCAAACCATATATATATATATATATATATACAAGTCTAAATTGAAAACAACGTTCAAACCTATGATTGCGTTGGATAAAAATCGCAATTTTTATACGTGTGCATGCAAAACAAATTTCTTGTTAGAGGGGTCTAAATACAGCACAAACAACATTTTCCAAAAGACCAAAAAAGTGAAAAGAATATTTTAACAAATCGCATTTGACTAACAGGTCGAACAACTGATGTTCTTAAACCTTGCTGACTGCCATTGACGATTGCCAAATAAATTGATCACGAGATGTAACATGGATCTTAATTATTAATTTAATACCAAACAGAAAACAATAAACTTGCGGAGAAGATGGTATACCGCAAACATGAGGTATACCATCTTTTCCAACGCAATCATAGGTTTGAACATTGTTTTCAATTTATATATATATAGCCACATGTTTTATTAATATGAAGCCATTTTGATAGCTCTTCAACTTCGTACTTTATTTTGGCCTTTATTACCTTTTTTATTGAGCAGCATTGATGAGTCTTTTGTAGACTCAACGCACGTCTGGCGTACAAAATTTTAATCCTGGAATATATGATGAGTTTTTTTTTATAGACAATAATGTTGTGGTCATGACAGCTTCTAATGAAGAATCTAGGTCATAAAACACAGTAAAAGCATACCAATTGATGAACAAAACTAATTTTTCGCATCACTTAATTCGATAGCTTATTAACCGTAATGAGCAATATTATTATTGCGTTGCCTGATCTATAGTTATAAATTAACAAACTAAGAACGCTTTTAAATCCTTTTTAGAAAATAGCAATATCATTTTACTAAACAATTTGACACACTAACGATTTAAGGCGGATGTGATATTATCCATAAAACCGTCCGCTTTGGACACACGACATGCATAAACATGATAAAGTGCTATTTTCAATTTGTATTTGAATGTGAGCAGAATCGAATTCAAAACGTGTTTTTCTTAAAAAAAAATTGCAGAAGGTTTTGTGTCGCCTTAAGAGTTTTATTATCAGTAATGAATTATTTTTGTTTGCAATAAGATTAAATAACAATAATTGTTCACAGAAAACATCTGTTTTCATTCCTCCGAATAATACAACAGAATT